TGAGAGGAAACATTAGAGAGATGATAGATACATCAATCTAGAGATGTGGATATATGGGTGGATTGATTAGTTGATAGCTATAGATAGATATGGACAAATACATATATGTATTTACATACACATATATTACATATATGTCTAAATATGTGTATATATATATACACACACAGAGAGAATGAATACAAAGTGGCTTTAAAATAAAAATAGTATATACAGAATGAATACAAGGTAGTTTTGAAATAAGAATCATAGACTTCGGGCTAGAAGGGACATTAGGGAGTCATCATTTCCAATGCCCTCATTTTATAGATGAAGAAACTGAGGCCAAGAGAAATCAAATGACTAGCCTATAGTCCCAAATTTAGTGTCTGTGGTAGTGATTGCACCTAGGTCTTGAGTACTCTTTCTGCTATACCAAGTAGCAGTAGAGGAGGGAGTAGTTGGTGGGCACTTCAGAAAAGGCTTTGGATCTAAGGTGGGATTGATCCAAGTTTTTTAAGGAAAGTAGAGGTAGAATATAAGAAAAGCAATGATAAATCACAAGGTTGAAAAAGAACATTCTCCTTCCTTTTGAGACAATTATGCCGGTTGTGATGAACGTTCAAGTAACATAAGAACAATTTTAGTGACCTGGATTCTTTCTGAAATGTTGGTGGATAAAACAAGCCTGGAAGGGTAGAAAATGGTCTCATGCTGCCTCTATTCCTCCTGGAAATGACCTTAAGGAAGGAGTTCTATTCAGTAGATGGGTTTCAGAAGGTCGTTGAACTTGGATGGAGAAAAATAATACATTTTTCTTTTTCATTGACCTTTATTTAAGTTGATAATTTTCTCTCCACTTATGAAATTTAAAAAATATTCTGGGAAGGGGTCTACAGGTTTCACCAGACTGCCAAAGGGATCCCTCACACACAAAAAACCTTTAGAACCTAAAACCTCCAGCTTTAGGGGTATCTATTAGTATCTTAATAGGAAAATCCCTCTCAATGCGTATCCCTTCTCCCAAATCACTTTAGTAGTTCCTCAATACATCTGAAGGGCAGCCCCATGGCTTGTGTCTACCCCAGGCATCCCTGGGGTAGCTAGGGTCAATGGGATTGGCCCTTGGATAACCACAATATTGCTAAAGAAACTGTGGCGGGACTAGATAAGCACATTAGAGTACCAAGGAGGAATACAGCTCAATGGACAGTGAAAATCAATGAGGGCAAATTGGGTCATTTTTGCCTCACTGATCCTCACTGACCATTAAGTCCTATTTGCTGGTTCATGGCTGTTCACTTCATTTATTTTCTAATCCCCTTTTCACCCACTTGGCACCTCTCCAGGTTAGTGCAATCCTACTAATTGCAGCAGCCTGCTCCTGACTGCCTGTGACTGGGGCCTTATCACCTCATTACAAGGCCCGACATGGAACTGTACACTTGAAACCCAGCTTGAGGCCTGGTTAGTTTAGGATCAAGGCTTAAATCAGACATTATCTCACAGGCTCTCAGATCAGGGCACTTTCATGGAGGATGGCTGCTGGGACTTGCTTTGAAATGATTTTCCCTGCAAATTTTCACTGCCCTTGGAAGAGTCCAGGCAACTTGAAGCTAACATTCCTATTTCTAAACTTCAGAAAAAAGGGGGTAAAAGGAATGTTTCGTGGTACACAGATGTTTTGGGAATTCTCCTCTTATGTAGATCCCAAGCTAGATTTTTGGTTGTTTTATAGAAATTAAGATTTTATAGTATAGTGGATGGAAAGTTGGCTTCAGATCCAGAAAGCCTTGGAGTCAAATCCTGCCTTAGCACCTACCTCATAGGATTGCTATGAATATCTAATAAGAAAATATTTGTTAAAAGTGCTTGGCAGAGTGCCTGGCACATAGTAGGTATTTAACAAATACTTATTCCCTTCTCTTCCTTTCACTTTGACTCCTACCATCTCTGTGACCCAGGGTAAGTCAATTAATCTCTGAGTGTTCTAGTTAATTCTAAAGACTATAAATTATAGCTAAAAAGCCTGACCTGAATTGTTAGGAGTTTCCTCATTTGGGAGTTCCCCATACCAATGAAATCGTATTCCCCTGTAGGTTTTTATTTTATTTTATTTTCGTATCATCTTCCAAATATATCTCTTCCTCTACTCAGAGCCACTCCTTATATAAGAGCCATTTCTTCATATAATAAAAGACTTAGGTTTACTTGTTTGCCTAGACTCTCATGGCCATCAAGTGTCCAGTTTTCCCACATCTTCTCCAACATTTATCATTTTACTGTTTTGTCATGTTGGCCAATCTGATAGGTATGATGTGGTACCTCAGAGTTGTTTTGGTTTGTGTTTCTCTAATCAATAGTGATTTAGAGCATTTTTTGTATGACTGTAGATAGATGTAATTTCTTTGTCTGAGAACTGCCTGTTCATATCCTTTGACCATTTATCAATTGGGGAATGACTTGTATTCTTATGGATTTGACTTAATTTTCTACATATTTTAGAAATGAGGCCCTTATCAGAGAGACTGGTTGTAAAAATTCTTTCCCAATTTTCTACCTTCCTTCTAATTTTAGTTGCATTGTCTTTTTGTTTGTGCAAAACCTTTTCAATTTAACGTAATCAAAGTTATCCATTTTGCTTTTTGTAATGTTCTCTATCTCCTATTTGGTCATCAGTTCTTTTGTTCTCTATACATCTGATAGGTAAACTATTCCTTGCTTTCCCAGTTTGCTTATAGTATCAGCCTTTATAACTAAATCATGAACCCATTTTGACTTTATTTTGGTATATGGTGTGAGATTTTGGTGTATGTCTAGTTTCTGTCAAACTCTTTTCCAGGTTTCCCAGTAGTTTTTTCTTTTCAAAGAGTGGGTTGTTATCCCAGAAGCTGGGGTCTTTGGATTTATCAAATAATAGATTACTATAGTCATTGACCACTGTGTCTTGCATATTCAATCTATTCCAGTGATCCACCACTCTATTTCTTAGCCAGTGCCAAGCAGTTTTGATGATTGCTGCTTTATAATACAATTTAAGATCTGGAATGGCTAGGCCACCTTCCCCTGCATTTCTTTTCATTAGTTCCCTTGATATTCTGGACCTCTTGTTCTTTCAGATGAATCTTGTTATTATTTTTTCTAACTCTATAAAATAATTCTTGGTAGTTTGATTGGTATGGCACTGAATAAGTAAATTAGTTTAGGTAGAATCGTCATTTTTATTATATTAGCTTGGCCTACCCATGAGAAACTGGTGTTTTCCAATTATTTAGATCTGACTTTATTCGTGTGAAAAATGTTTTGTAATTCTGTTCATATAGTTCTTGGGTTATTTCACATTATTTTGTAGGTAGCACAGCTTATTGCTGGAACTGTAGACAGGAAGACCTGAGTACAAATCTACATTCAGATACATACTGGTAAAGTGATCCTGAGCAAATCACAGTCTTTGTCTTTATTATATGTGATGGAGTAGTGTGCAGTGGCAAAGAACTGGACCTACAGTCAGGAAGACTTGAGTGGACAAGGGTAAGTCAATTAAAACTTTGTCTGACTCAGTTTCCCCATCTGTAAAATGAGGATAGTAATGGAAACTACCTCCCAGAATCATTTTTAAGATGAAAAGATAATATTTATAGAGATTTCATAAACTTTAAAATACTATGTAAATGTTAGTTGCTTATCATTATCATTATTATAGGATAAGTGAGGGACAATATAGTTGGAGATGTTTTCCTTTGCACTGGGGTCTAAAAAGGGGAAACTTAAAAGAAACCAATTAAAAAAGATCATGTTGAGGAGGAATATTTTTTTAAAAAGAGCAACTTTTATAGAAGTATCTAGAAAAAATGGAATAGCCTTTTAAAAATTGCTTTTTCTATTACTTATTATTCCTTCTTTCCTATGTGCAACACCTGTGGATTGGAAAGAGAAGCTATTTTTTCTATTTAATTAACTAGTGACTCTGTCCATAAAAGTTATCACCAAACTAGTGAACGTTTTAAAAAAGAATCATTCCAAGATGAACCAGTTGAAAAAAAAAAAGAAACTCTACAAATTTGAATCAGCTCTCCAAAGCTAGCCAGATTCCATCCTCCTCAATGGGTAAGATGTGAAGCAGAAAGCTACTGGGGCTGGGGAGTGTTACTAAAGAACATGAGTCACTTCAATGGCTGGCATTGATACTGTAGCAAGCAAACTGGAACTCTGGAAAGAATCAGGATAGTTACTTTGGCTTGGGAGCTTAAGAATAGTGGTGGTTGCGGGCATAATATGGTCTAACTCGTCCATGCAGCCCAGTAGGAATGGAGGAAAATTTGCCAATCATTTCCGTAGACAAAGAAAAGGGTGGAGCAGCTCCCACATTTCACTGTGAATGAAACTAGCAAGCAGCCCACATCCATGTGCAAAAACGCACACGTGTGTGTACACACTGGCATGAGAAGCTCAAATTTTCCCATAAGCCCAAAGCAACAAGCTTCAACAGTTCTTACTCTAGCTTTTGTATCCTGGCCAGATTCCAATTGGAATAATTACATTCTGCTCACCTCCACTCCCCTTGCCGTTTCAATGGGATACAATGCTCGTCTTCACTTCGGGCCCCAAACTGTCATGTTAGTGTTGTTGCACAGTGTTCAACCATTATTCCTGTTCACACCATATGCGACTTCATTTCCTAGCTGAGAGAATCAAGCTTCCCACTCACCGTTCTTTTCACTGGTTCTGGGAAGCAGAATAACCACATAAAACCACACAAGCCTTGTCACCCTTTAAAAACTGCCCATCAATCAACTTTTTTTCCTCCTCCCATTCTTATAGAATTTAAGGCACTGAATGTCTCTTTTTCCCCAAATAACACCCACCTTAACTTTTTGCATTTCCTGCTAACTCACTTTCCAAAACAAAGCAAAAAAACTCACTTGTAATTCAACTCCACACCGAATTCCCATTGTGACAAAATTTCTCTTCTTTATAAACATAATTATTCTTTATTTTCATTCTGCTGCTACTGCCTTTCAGCTGCGTGTTCAAAGCTTGTGTTATGTGGCTCTACATTTTTGTCTTTTGGTCTCAATAGCGGAAATCAAGCTTCCCAGGGGCAAAACAACATTTGGCAATGTTTATCCTGCTACCCACCATTTTTCGACAATCGTTTTCATTTCTGCCGCACAGAAATTCAATTGAGAGTTTTGAACAACTTTCACTCATTTCTACCTAAAAAAAAAAGAAAGAAAGAAGAACAGAACCTCAGTAGAACAGACTAAGGGTGCTTCTGGTAATTTAAACGTTATTTGAATGTGAGAACCTCCTGGCAAGGTGAGCACCTCTGCCCCTGCCCCAGTTAGCAGTTAGGACACCTGCAGTCCTTGAGATTCTCTCCCTTTGGCTGTAATTACACATCTGGGAACCCAGAGCAGCCCATGCCCAGCAGGAAGTATGCAGGAGGGCAGAGGGCAAATAGCCTCTATGCTGGGACCAAGTTCATTGGGGGTATCTCTGAATCATTAGTTCTCCTGCCCCAAACCATCCAACCTAGATCTTAGACCCTGCCTAGCTTGTAAATAAAGGCCAGCCGAGACTTCACACGTTTCTAGCTGAGACTCTGATCTCTGACTGTCTGAACTCTTCTTCCTTAAAGAATCAGTCACTTTGTATCCTACTTCTGTCTATGGACATATTTCCTCTTTTCAGTGTAAAGCAAACACTGTGAGGGCAGGGGACTTTTCATATGTTTTCTTCTATCCAGCACTTAGCACTGCCTGGCATATAATTAGGTGCTTAATAAATGTTTATTGATTGATTTCTAATGACTAGATCATAGTAAACACTTAAAAATGCTTGTTCACTGATTTCTTTTTAAATTAAAGAACTTCCTAGATTTTTCACTTACATCATCTCTTTTTATCTCAGTAACTACTTGTACAGTTTGTATTTATTTTGAACATTTTTGTTTTATGTTCTCATCACTTAGCATGGTGACTGGCACATAGGAGATAGATTAAATCAGTTCTTGCTGACAGACTCAGTATACGTTGTGCTCAGTTTTTTCAGCTGTCTGTTTTTTTTTTTTTTTTTTTGGCAAAGATACTGAAATGGTTTGTCATTTCTTCTCCAGCTTATTTTATAGACGAAGAAAGTGAGGCAAACAGGGTTAAGTGACTTGCGTAAAGTCATATAGTTAGTGAGTAAGTAGGCACTTAATCCATGCTTTTGTTGTTGTTGTTGTTGTGTGTGTGTGTTTTAATTGAAGCACTTCCTGGACTTTTGACTCCTCCCCTCCTGAGCTAGTTTCCCAAATACACAGTGCTTCCTCCCTCTTATTTATTCTGTGTAGCTTTATAAATGTACATTTTGTCTTTCTGATAAGAGTGTCATTTCAGGGCAGCTAAGTGGCACAGTGAATAGAACACTGGTCCTAGAGTCAGGAGGACCTGAGTTCAAATATGGCCTCAGACACTTGATACTTACTAGCTGTGTGACCTGGGCAAGTCACTTAACCTCAATTGCCTAGCCAAAAAGAGAAAGAGAAAGAGAGACAGAGAGAGAGAGAGAAAGAGAGAGAGAGAGAGAGAGAGAGAGAGAGAGAGAGAGAGAGAGAGAGACACCTCCTCATGGGCAGAGACTCTTGTTTTTATGTTTTTTCCATAGCACCTCAGCATATGGTAACAATCAAGAAGCTCCTAATATGCACTAGAACTATGCAGATGCTGCGAATATAAATAAGAATGAAAGAATTCCTACAACCACAGCATGTAAGTATAAACAGTATACATACAAGTGTATATAGAACAAATATAAAGTGAACAAAAACAAATTAACTACAAGCAAGGATGTTTGTGAGGGAGATAGGTCGCTAGCAGTTGGGGGAATCAGGAATGCTGCCATTCATAAGGTGGTTGTTGAGTTCCATTTTGAAGGAGGAGAAGGACTTGGTGAGGCAGAGGGGAGGTGGGGGTGCATTCTGGCTGTGGGTCCTGCCAGGGTAAAGCTACGGAGAGAAAAGATGGAGTGACCCATGGAAGCAACGTAGAGAAGTCAAGTTTGGCTGGACCACAGAGATAACAAAGGAAAGGATATTCAGTGATGCTGGGAAGATAGGTAGGTGCTTTGATTCGTTCCAGAAGTGACGACTGAGTTTCCTGATGCCTAGTCCTGGACTTTCTCAAGTGAGCATCATTATGCTGCTTACAAATGACCAATATGGGAGCTGAACTAGTCTCAATGTGTTTCAAGGAGTCAAAGTTCCTCCAAGACTTATTGTTACCCAACTGGACAAAGAAGGTACTTAGATCAAAATGTCTCAAGCACTAAAAACGTATTCTCTAATAACAGGAACAGAACACATTGGCTTTTTTTTTTGTTTTTTGAAAAGTGATGTTATTTCAAAGAGGAAGAAGTGACCTGCACTGGTAATAATTTATATGGTCTTATATAAGCTGAACATATCACAAAGGAAACGTTGCAGTGAGACATCTACCAGATGATATGGAGGTCTCTGCTGTCAGAGACAGCCAAGTCCTTTTGCAAATAAGAGGCTTACCCTCTGTGCTAACTTCTCACAATATTGACTTACTTGTAGGAATTTTAAAGTGTATTGGTCCTTAAATAATATTTGGAATAAAGTCTTGTTGCCAGGCAAATTCTGTGCTATGAACTCCAAAATTGTCCTGATATTAAAACCAAATGAGGAGAAACTTGATTTCTATGAAACAAGGTCCATTCTGAGGTTTAGAACTCCGGATGTGAAAACATATTGTTTTAAGGCAAAATATTGTAGTCAAGTGAACAGGGATCTCCTATGGCAGTCTAAGAGTGGGGATTCCCTTACATAGTATAGGAAGACATAGAGACGTGGCGTAAACCTTTTTTCAAATATGATGATATCTATGGTCATAAACAGAATGGAGCATATGCCCTGGAGGCATATGAGAAGGGAAATATCATTGCTAACTCATGGAAAATAAATCGAGAAAAATCCTCTGGAGAGAAATTATAGCTGGTGGTGTATTTTGGTTATCGAAGGATAAGTGAAACTGATAAAATGTGGTTGTTATAGTCTGGGAAGGAGGTGACAAAATAAATAGTATTTCTTTTTAACTCCATGTAAATGTTATTTTTATTGTTTTCTCTTTAGCCTAACTTCTGAATCAAAACCACACATATGTAGGAAGAGGAAATAAAGAAGAGAAAAAAAAAGTTCCTGTTATTTCATCTTTTTTTGACAATGATTGATCTACAATGTAAAACACTTTGTATATAAAGCTCATTAATTTAAGTTTAAAAATATATACATCAGATAAAAAACTTGGAATATAAAAGAGATATTTCTTTAGATAAATACAAAAAATCTGACACTTAAAAACAAAAGTGAAATCTATCCATTATGCTTCACTCTAATCTTTTCTTCAGAATTCTCAGAGGAATCAAGAGGGCCCTACCTAGTCACAGATAGGAAAAAAGAAAACATATTCTCAAACATATAGGCACTGAGAAACTTCTTAGGATGAATAGCCCAAGGGAAATCTTACCTGATGTGGGCAGATAAAAGTAAGCTGAGTGGAAGATTTGAGGAGAATTCTCTACAAGCTTTCTATCTTCCTCCTGAACTCCCAACAATTTCAAGATTCACACAACTGGGAATTTAAAAAAAAAACACACCATTACCATTTTTATAAATGTGCTTATGAATACATTTGCAGACTTAATTACATTCTATTTCACAGGCGTAAACAGGTTGACAAATATACAAGTTTTGCAAGGCCAAAAATAAAACAAGCTCAAAACTGAAGGCAGCCTTAAAATCATTGCTGAAATTTATGTTTTTACACTTAAAATCTGAAGGTTTTCAAGGATATAAGCAACAACTATATATTTTTTTAAAAAATCATTTTTACTATATTTCTCAATTAATTGGTCTAAGGTCTAGTAGACAACAGGTTGTTATAACTAATGAACCAGGCTATTTTGTGACATTTCTTTAATAATATTTCTCTACTAAAAATATTTTATGTATTTAATGAGTTGTGATCAACAAGTGATAGTTCTCTGCTCATCCTTTTAAATTGAGTTGTGTAAAAACTAGGGGTAGCTAGGTGGTGCAGTGGATAGAACACCGGCCCTGGAGTCAGGAGGACCTGGATATTTGAAACGTACTAGCTGTGTGACCCTGGGTAAGTCACTTAACCCCATTACCTAGCCAAAAAAATGAGTTTATATAATAACTAGAAAATCTGGTATAGAGTGCTGGACTTGGAATCTGCATTACAGATTTTAGAGATGGAAGGGACTTAATATATACTTATACAAATATATATATTTATATGTAAATAATTGATTTATTTTATCATCTTCTAAACTATATATGTAATACATTGCTCTACCAACTTCTAAAACTATCCTCCTTTACCTCTGTTAAAAATAATCGATCAATTTTTTTTTTCATATTTAGCTTTACTCACTAATATACATATCTCTCTCCTCCTTCTCCCCCCAAGTTGAAACTCTCTCATAGAAAATATGTAATCAAGCAAAACAAATCAACACATTTGCTGTGTCTAAGGATATATGTATGGTTCTGCATTTATAGTTTCTTATTTTATTGCTAACTTGTGGAAGATGTGTTACATCCTCAGTCTTCTAAAGCCAGGATAACTCATCACTGCTTTGATCAGAGGTCTGAGGTCTTTCAAAGTTATTCCTTCTCACTTTATGGTTATGCTCATAGTATAAATTATTCTCTGTGTTCTGCTCACTTCACTCTCTGTGAGTTCATATAAACCTATCTTTTTTTTTTCTAAATCAGTCATTCAATAAGAACTTATTAAGCGGTTACTAGGTGCCAAGTACTATGCTGGGTGCTAGGTATACATGTACAAAGAATGAAATTTACTTTCAAGGATCTTATATTTTAATGAAAGAGATAAAAAGTACATATATATGTGTATATATATATATATATACACACATACATCAACAAAGTGAATACATGCAAATATATGCAAAGTAGTTAATACCAGGTACTTTGCAAGGGAAGGTATTAGTTGGAGTAGGGAGGATCAGGAAAGGTTTCGTGCAGAAGATGGTGCTCCATTATATTCATATACCAAAATTTGTTCAGTCATTACCCAATGAATGTCCACCTAATTTGTTTCTAGTTCTTTGCTACTAGAAAGGACATTAGAAGCTATTTAGTCTGACCAACCTCTCCCATTTTACAGATGAGGAAGGGAGGCCAAGGGATTCACCCAGAGGTGATAAAACAAATAAGTATATGATGTGGGATAAGAACTCAGGTTTTTTCTGATTACAAATTTAACACTCTATCTCTTATGCTATACTGCCTTTCAAAGAGGAAAGACCTGCTTATGCTTACTCTTTATGCAACCATGGGCAAATTCCTTAGACACTCTGAGACATAGTCAATTATCTATGACTATAAGTTATTGACCAAGGAGATTTTAATTGGAAAACAGAATGCCCATGACCAGTGAAATTATGGAGCCTTTGACATACCTAAGTGCCTTCATATGTCATGGTGTAATGGTATAAAAAAAAATTGGACGTGAAATAAGATTTTGTTTGGTCTGTCTGCGATCTTATGGAACATACTTATCTTTTCTGGACATCAATTTCCTCATGTATATGTCCATAATATATCACATAGGCTGTTATGAGAATCAAAGTCCTTGAGAGAAGTAACTATTTTTGTTTTTCTTTGTATCCTCAGCACTGGCTCTTACTGAATGCTTGTTTACTTGATTTAAGGAAATTTGAGACCCCACCCCCCCCAATTTAAGTGGCTTGCCCAAGATCACATAGATAATAAATGACATAAGCAGAAAATGCATCCATGACCACTGACTCCAAACTCGGCACTCTTTCCATTATCTAACGCTTCTGGGGCAGGGTCAGGGCCTGGTAAGTCATGGTGGAAAGGTACATTGCCCACAACTCTCCATGGAATCATATAGCAGAAGCTAGAAGACATCTAGTGAAATCATCCCATTTTATGAATGAGGGAACTGAGGCTAAGGAAGGTCTATTAGTTCCTATTCTCACTAGTTGCTAGGCTCTGCTGTTTCTCTGGTGCTGAAATTTCTATCCAGGTATCATTAATACCTTCTAAATTTGGTTCCCTCTAAATTTGACACCCTGATGTAAAGCCCTATCATTTTACCCTAGTTACATTGCTACATCCCTGAAACAATGAGGTGTGAAGAAAGGAGGGCGAGGTTGGAAATCAGAAGATCTGACTACAAATCCTATTTCTACTATTTTCAACCTTCATGAGTGATCTTGGACAAGTAGCTTAGCATTAATGGATCTCAATTTCCTCATCTGTAACATGAAGAGGTCGGTCTAGATGGTTAGATGATCTCTACGGTATTTTCCAGATCAAAGTCTTTGATTTTACTGATTTCACAGAAAACGTACACCAATGTCTTTGCCTTCTTCAGTTATTTACAGGTTCATTTAATCAGTTGCAGTTTTCAGCAGGCACTCTTCTGAGAGGAAAGATAGTCTTCACTAAAAAAAAAATAAAATAAAAAAAAAGTCCTTGCTCCACACGGCAGCCAGTAGGATCACTTTTTAGGGATTCAACCTGTCTGAATGGGCCCTATATTTATAAATATGGAGTAAGACTAATTTCAGGGGCTTTTCTGCATAGATAGGAAAAGAACTTCCCATGAAATAAATGAGCCCCATATTTCCCATGAGGGATAGATGGCCACTGTGTTCTGAGGATACCTGGTATATTTCACCACTTGTTTCCATTTCCTGTGGGCAGCTCTAGAATCCTACTTTTAGTTTCAGCTTAGGGTTCCCTATATTTGTGTCAATTGTTGCAAACTCAGGACCACTCAGTTCAATGCCTAAAGAATCAAGGTTGTTATCAAGTAGGGCAACTGCCCCTACTGCAGCACCCCTGTGCCTTGGTCTGATGGAGTTGCTTTATAGGAAAACATTTATCACCCTCTGGCCAACTTGGCAATGAGCTGCTCCAAACTTAGCTGGGACAGTTCTGGACAACAGACATAACAATCCATCACCAGGATTGCTGTGAAAAGCTTCTTAGCTTTGTTCTGCTTGCTAAGAGCTCACCTTTAGCTGCCCTGCCTTTGGGGTCTACAATCATCCCTTAAAGAGTCCTCATTTTACTGCTCTTCTGCTCGCCAGACCTTCACTTTCAAATAAAACGGTTAATAATTCCTCTGGTGAATTTGAGATTTTTAAAAGCATTTTTTTTCAATCTTGTTTAATATGTCTTTAATTTAATATATTAAATCTTAATTTAATATTTTATAATTTGAGCTAATATATTTAAAATGCATCACATCTTAATTTTATATATTCAATCACAGTTTAATAAAGTTTCCTTTTAACGTCTTGATTAAAAGGACTAGTGCACAGTAGTTATTCCCTTCAATTAAACTCCAAGTGCTGTTTTCTCAGTGGGCTCCATCATTTCATCTAGGGCTAGTAGATTCACAGACCAAGGTAGAGGCAGAAGATCCCTGGGGATGCCAGGGCTGATCTCATTGTAGAATTTTTTCAGTAACCCTAATAGGTTATGCTCCAAAAATCTCCTCTGCCCACAAGATGTGATTTTCCCACTAAAAATTCTCAGGAAGGTTGGCCAGACTTCATTTGGATGGATCCTCCTCTTTTCTCATCTCTGTTCACTTACCACCTATATGAATGTAAGCAAGTCATTTAACCTGCCCTGCCCCCACCTCAATTTCTATATCAGTAAAATGATTAGACTAATTGCCCTGTAAGTCTAGCTCTAGAACTGCGCAGTGGAAATAGCATTGGACTTTGAGTCAAGAAAATCTGAGTTTGAATCCTGTGTCCACTGCTCACTACCTGGGTGACCTTGGGCAAATCACTAAACCTCACTCAGTTTCAGATCCATCATTTGTAAAACAGGGATAATAACAAGAGCTACTTCAAAAGGTTGTGCTGATGATCAAATGGGATAACACATATAAAGCACATCACAAACCTTTAAAGACTATAAAATGCTAATTCTAATAATAAGTAGTATTATAATTATTATCAATTACTGTGGTTCAACCCCTGAATCAAGTTATATTCTTGAATTATTTTTAAGGGCAGCAAAGATATGGAAACCTTTTTTGAGAAATCTGAAAAATCTTACACCAAAAGATATTTTTAAAAACCACTGGACATCATTGAGACATACATCCAAACCTTTTACTGTGTCTGAGCTAGCCTGTCCTTTAAAGATTTCTGACTAAAGGACAAGCAGCAAAGTTAGGAGTGCTCTTCAGAGTCCTAACAGCAGTGAAGAAAGAGAGAAGGAGGGAAGGAGGGAGGGAGAGAGAGAGAGAGAGAGAGAGAGAGAGAGAGAGAGAGAGAGAGAGAGGTGGAGAAACAGACAAGAGAGAGAGAAACAGAGACAGAGACAGAGAGACAGAGACAGAAAGAAAGAGAGAGGAAGGAGGGAGGAAGGGAGGGAAGGAGGAAGGAGGATGGAAGGAAGAAAAGAAGGAAGGAAAGAAAGGAAAGGAGGAAGGGAGGGAAAGAGGGAAAGAGGGAGAGAGGGAAGGAGAGAAGGAGGAAGACCTAAGGCAAGGACAAGAAATATAGATCATGAGCCAAGGACTGG